CAAACACTGAGTGATGAATTTTATTCCTCCACAGCATTTTGTGAGAAAGGATGAGCACCAGGAAATTTGTATACTTGCGTGCGATGATACTTGAAGTCAGTTATGAAAGTGACCTATTGCTTGAAGTGCAAAACATTGCCACGCAATCTCGTTACTTTTCTTTGGAGCTCAGATAATTTATTGATCATTTTCATAGACAACGAATAGCGGGGGTAGCGTGTACCTGTGCAACTGCTGCCAGTCACGTTGAATATTCGTAATCTATATTCGATTAGGACGACCCCGTACTGTCAAAAATATCATCTAATTAAAATTTCTGTGACTTTGATTATGCCCTTAGGTTGTATTTTTGCTGTCCTCCTTGTGTCCCGTTCGAAGCCTTATCTTCAGGTGTTCCATTTGGCTGGAAACCAGTCCATGCACCCGCGTTTACCAGAAGAACAAACTTCACACTCGTTATCCCACAATCAGAGATAAGCTTGTCGATGTACCGTTTTTTACATCACCATCTTGAAGAAAGATGTGTTATCATGTAAAGTTTACCAGTGCGTTATGAACTAATCCTGTATTAAATGGATTACATGCGAGGATAAAAAGTTCTAGGTCGCACAATGACAGTACCCATGACTAACCTCGAGTGATGACAAGCAACGTGATGAAGTCGAAATAGCTCCCGTTTGTGCGAATAATCGTGGGGGAAGGTTTCATTGTAGGATCAATAGTGAGGCACGAATATGTGGGTTATATCCGACTGGATGAGGCAGTATGTTTACCAAAGACGCGTTCACCACAAAACTAATACGCAGCAGCACAAAAGTATGTGATGGATCAGTGTAATAAACTGTAATTTGCAGTTGATCTCAGAAGGTCAATCAGCGACAGAATCGATCAGATGGAACGTTGTATGCTGTTCAGCAGACTCCCCGAAAATGAAACTCTTATTTAAATACACGAAAATAAAGTAGTTTATTCGAGTCTAGAGAGGTAACCGGACTAGCAATGTTGAGGTTGGGTGTAGAGTCTTAGACAGTCGCGGTCGTCCAATGGAACAAGCGATCGACCTCCATAGATTACGTTGGTTGGGGCATGTTTTGCGCATGTCATCAAATAGGTTGCCATGGCGAGCGATGTTTGCCGAGGCAGGCAGCGGTTGGAACAGGGTCAAGGGTGGTCAAACGAAGACCTGGCATTAGGGTATGAAAATCCCAACCAGAAGGCTAGGTTACATAGGCCCCGTCAGACTCCTTGACTGGGGACCTCGGTATGATGGTCACCTTTGATTAGATACACTGAGTATTACGGCAGAGTGTCGCAAACAGTGGCGCTCGTGCATCCACTCATTATTCCCCCAGAACCATTCTACATGAATTCTCCAACTTCCGCTTGAATTTGCTTTCAACATTCCAATCTTCTTTCTGCTCTTTTATCTCAATGGAGCACCAAAAGGCGGCAACCAAAACCGGCGCACGAAAGCACATGGTTAATGGCTGTAAAAACTGAACTGTACTGAAATGAACTGAGAATCAGCGTCGAAATCAATACATCGATGACTCTCAAACAAAACCCAAGTTTATCAGGTGGTCCGATAAGAGGAGGAGATCTTTCGTACTGGGGTTGTCTACCTTCGTTGGATTGAATAAATTACACTTTTATGGGCCTGACGCAAGTAAAACGTGGTACAAAACAGGTAATGTGGCTACTTAAATTACTTCTGAGAGTGAGTTCGTCGCAGATGTTTGAGGATAGATGGAAATCCTGATCAATAATACAAATGCAGAGACCAAAACAAGGACACTTCTGCCCTTAATTCACAAGGAAGATTGGTGGAATATCTTTTCAATTGTAAAACTCTGAACGCAAACCAGAAGTGGAGTACAGTGTGGTTTTTGGTCTCTAATTCATTGTTTTCACTTTGTATATTTGCTCCACGTCGTTTTAACCGAGCTAAGTAAAGAATAAATGACGCATTGATTGACCCAAAATACGGACTATTTCATTCAAATGCTCTAAAATGATAGTTATACAGTGAATCAGTGGAGAAAGATTATAATCAGTTTTGAACAGTAAATTCAATATTCAAGAAATTATCTTCGGTCCTTACATAATCTGAACAGGTTATCTGTATGTGTTCAGTTTTTGAACGTCAAACGTGAAGGAATCGAATAAATGCAAACGGTTATACTGTTGAATCACTAATTTTTTTATTTGAATCCTTTGATCAACACTCTCCCCCTTCCTGAAAATGGCATCTTCACATACTCAATAAATGAAAAGAAATTGAAAGGAAGAAAACCAGTATTATTATTATTACTATTACCATCAGTTACACTCAAGCTACTTTTTGAGAGTAGTTTAAACTTGTAGCTGACAACTGCGCAATACGTGCAAGATGGTGGAGAGTTATGCATAGTGGAACTAATTAGCAGATCCAATAAAACGTAATAATATAATAAAAAGACATTTTCGATGGAACTATTGCTTATTTAACCACCTGACAATGTGACGTAATCAAGTGTTGATCGAAGAAACTCATAACGTAATTTCA